AAAAGAAAAGTAAGATAGATAGATAGATAGATAGATAGATGATAAATAGATAGATGCTCATATGTCAAGCTAAGTGCTGTGATCAGGTTTAACAACTGTTAGTCTTAAGAAGCTGGAAGGATGGGCTTCATATGGGGATCAGGACCTACCTGAGCTTGGCTGGAATTTATACTTCCCCACATCAGATCAATCACTAAGTTCTAGTCAATGTATGCATGTACGTATGTATGAATGCTGAAAAAAATAAAGTTGGAAAGGACTGTGGAGGACAGGTGAGGATGCTAGTGGTACATTTCTGAGGCTATAGAGTTTGTGTTTTCTTTTGGAATGAGGATGAGCACAGCAGAGGAATGACAGGAACCCAGCAGCAGTCTCTTCCATCGTTTTTCTTCTTGCCAGTCTTGCTGCCCCCATCCCCACACATGCTCAAGGGATCGTTTTACAATGCTGATCTGATTAAGTCTTTTCCCTACCTAAAATTCTTCATTTGGGCAGCGGATGTAGCTCAGTGATGGAGTGCATGCTGAGCAATCATGAGGCCATGGATTCAATCCCAGGATGAAAAACACAAAAACAAAACAAAAAAATTCTTCATTTTCTATTGATCCTAAGATATTGTCTAGTCTCCTCACCATGATTTACAAATCCCATCATGATCAGGTGCCTTCTTCTATCTCCCTTTACATCTATTTGCCAGCCTTATTGATCTTTTTTAGTTTTCCTTTTTTTTTTGGTACCGGGGATCAAACTCAGGTCCTTGTGCTTGTGCAGCAGGAGGCAAAACCACTGAGCTAAATCCCCGGCCCCTTTTTTAGTTTTCTGAAGTGCACTCTCTTCTCTCTACATTAGGAATTTCCATGTATATTATTCCCCCTCTTTTTTTTTTTTTTTTTTTAAGACAAGGTCTCACTGTGTAGTGAGACCACTATGTAGAACTCATTATGTAGCCTACTCTGATCTCAAACTCACAGTGATCCTCCTGCTTTAGCCTCCTGAGTGCTGGGATTACAGGTGTGCACCACCATGCCTGGCTTTGTATATTATTCACAATGTCTGCAACACTTCTAATCACCTCCTCTATCTTCTTCTCCAACATGGCTAACTCCAGCTTAGCCCTCTGTTCTTAGCTTCCCTAACCCCTACACTTGTCTAATCTCTAATAATACCAACTCTATTGTAACTACTTACTTAGTGGTGAGTCCTCCCTGGTAGAATGCAAACCCTGTGAGGACAGGTATCATGTCTATCTAGATCACAATTGTAACCCGAGAATGTAACACAGTGCTTAACATGCAGGGCTAAGAGGAAATGAAGACACCACCACTGAGAAGAAAGCAGTTCATTCTGCTGACCAGATTAGATGGGCAGAAGAAACCCAGAAGAGATTCAGCTTAACTGAGTGATGCTATGTATCAAATATTGTGCTAGATGCTTTATTAAAAGGTTATCTTCATATATTCCATAATCCTCTGAGGCATACACTGAGATTTTTGCCCCCTTTGCAGATAGAGAAACTGAGGTTCAGAAAGATTAAGTAAAATATTCAAGGCTACAGTCTAGCAAATGAATTCCCCTTACACCAGCCTGGTCACTTTCTAATCTGCTTCCACCAATGCTTAGCTTGGTGGGAGCAATTTTTTCTATGTCCACTAAATAAAAAGGAAGAGACCCAAACACCTGTCCCCTACCCTCATTCTAAGCTTCTTAAAATTGGAGGAACTGTCCAGGATTAAAATCAAAACTATATGAATTTAGCCGGGTGTGGTGGCACACGCCTGCAATCCCAGCATTCAGGAGGCTGAGACAGGAGGATCACTGTGAGTTCAAGGCCAGTTTGGGCTATATAGTGAGTTCAGGGCCAGCCTGAACTATGAAGGGAGACCCTGCCTCAAAAAACAAAAGGGCTGGGGATTTAGTTCAGAGGTACCACACCTGCCTTGCAACCAGCAAGGTCCTGAGTTCAATCCCTGATAACAACAACAACAAAACTGTATAAATTTGAGAGAAAGTATTAAATGCCACAACACAACTTCTATAAACATATGTACATTGCAATCAATATAGGTAACTAGCCAGATATGATGGCACACACCTGTAATCCCAGCTACTCAGGAGGCTGGGGCAAAAGGATCACAAATTCAAGGTCATCCTGGGCAACTTAGCAAGATCTTGTCTCAAAAAAATACAATGGAGGGCCAAGGATTTAGCTCAGTGATTCCACCGCCTGCCTCAAAGTGCAAGGTCCCGAGTTCAATCCCTGGTACCAAAAAAACCCAAAAACCAAAAATAAATAAATAAATAAAATGGGGAATGTAGCCCAGAGCTGGAGATATAATGTGTGTGTATGTGTGTGCGTGTGTCTGTGTGTGTGTAACTAATATTATACCAGGAATTTACTAGTCCTGGTCCTGTTTGAATTTCCAGAACACTTTCTGTAGTGGATAGTATAATGCCACTCTTTATGTTGAAGAAACTGAGACTCAAAATGATTTAGTGACTTGCCCTTCAAAGAGATCAAGACTTGCCATCTCAAAATAGGCAAATTGATGTACTATCTCAAACTGAAGTCACTTGAGGAATTGTAACTTTGACAGGATCATTGGCTTGTCTTTTCCTACATGCAGTAAGACATAAAGACTATTTTGGGAGGGGTGACTTTTACATAACAAGACGAAAAAAAATAGCCTTCATTACCACATGCTGATAATTGGGGCTTAAATGAACCAGGAAGTAAACAAACCAGGAAGTAATTCTTACCTTCCACTAGCTTTTACATGCCCACATCCCTTACATCTCTTAGTAACATCCCAAAAACTTACTACCCTAGTGCAGGTAACCATTTGTCCTGTCATTATTTCACAAATTTATTGTTCTTTGTCTAAGAAGTATAAAAGCATCATGCTTTGGACATTTCTTTGAACTTCAGTCTTATGAAGATCCTCATGTACATCTAAATTTAATAAATGTCTATGCTTTTCTCTTGTTAATCAGTTCTTATATTAATTCTTTCTAGATCCAGCCAAAGAGGCCACATAAGAACTAAGAGGGGGTAGAAGGGACTTCCCTCCCCTATACCCTCACATAACTTGTATGTGTGACTGTGGGACTGCATAACCTTTGTTCCTTTTCTCCAGCCCCATGGTGATTAAAAGTGAGTTAATGGATAAAGAGGCTTGTTAGTTTTGGGACACTAGATAAAAATCTGTAACAGACCTAAAGTCCCAAAGTAAACTACTCAACTCCTTGTTTGCCCAGAACTGATGTTCCAGGCACCACAATTTTTAGAACAAGCTGCAAATGTCTGCTGACCATCAATACGTGACAGTCGACCACTAACCTTTGTCCCCTTTTCTTTAATTCTATATGTTAAATTCCCCCTCAACCCCCTATAAAAAGTCAGCCTCGGACTCTGAGCCAGCTGCCTCTCTAAGCTATTTTGCTTTGGGAGTGCCGTCTGGCCAGACTAATAAAGGTCTGTTTTACTTTCCAACTTGTCCGGTGTGTTCCTTCCCGGGTGTTCTTCACTGCAGTCAGCTCCTTGGAGCATTTGGTAAGGCTCTTGGTCTTACATTCTGGAGGCACCGCTGGGATCCCTGGGTGTGCTTCACTAGTCAGCTCCTCGGAGCGTTTGGTAAGGCCCCCGGTCTTACAGTTTAAAACAACAAAGGAAAATTCATAGGCTTATCTAACTGTTAAGCCTAGATATAATATGGTCTTCAGACCAGACTTTTAAAAAATTAGTGGCAAAATTTTTTTTAAAAAAATTGGTGGTTAGCTGGGAATGTAGCTCAGTGGTACAGCACCTGCCTGGCAAGGGAAAGGCCCTGAATTTGATTCCCAGTACAAAAGAAAATAAAATAAAATTAGTGGTCAGTTTGTGGTAGGCAAATGCCCAAGGATGACAGGATCTGAAGAACTCAAAAGAGCTGGCATTAGGGCTGAGAGGCATAGAGGTTGGACTTCACAAGGTCAGAATTGTCCCCTCCAGCTTCAAAAACCTTGGACTAAGAATACAGCCCTTCTATTTGGGTCCTCTCTTCCTGCAATGTAACAAATATGCAGATGCTTGACTCCAACTAAACTGAGGGCTGGGAGAAGAAAGCTAGAAATTGCCCAAACTGCTGTAAGGGGAGCTCAAGAATGGGCAGGACCAGCATGAGCACACTATTGTATTCTTTTCTCCCCCATCAATACCTTATGGCTAGGGTGGAGGGAACCTTGAAAAAGTAGTCCTAGTCTTTTCTAAGACCAGAAAGAAAACAGAAGAGTGGAGGGTAAGGAATGGGCATCCCATACCCAGAGAATGGGAGGCTGCTGAAGCTCTGAGTCATAACTGAGCCAAACTCAGACATTCAAGGGGAGAAATCTACTCTGAGCTCCATCTGGCTGCTTCAGAATCTAGCTAGCAAATAAATAAATCCAATTACCTTAGGCCAACAGGTCCATCTTCCTGCCTCAAACTGTACCTGCATTCATTTTCTGTGTGTAGGATTCTGTGTATAGGGGACAACATTCACACTTGTCTGAAGAAGCCATTTATCAATGCATTGTTCTCACTGTGCCTTAACTTACTAGCTTTATTTTCTGCACCTTAGCAAAAACCTCTGCCACTGTGAGGCACCATCAGGGGCCTTTCAACAACTCTTCCCATGCCTAGGATCTCCTGGGGCTACTGACTTTAAAACACAAGTCAGTACTCCGCCCTCTGGACTGCAAAGACCAACGCAAAGCACTTCTTTTCTCTTTACTTCAATCTCCCTCCCTTATTTCCTAGTTTTTCTCTCTTCCTCTTCTCATCTCTCCTTTTCTCTCTTCTTCCTTCATCAGTTCCCCTTCTCTGTCCTAAGCTTAGTTAGTCCTCTGGCTTTACTTGGACATTTGTGGGACGGGGTCAGAACACCAACCCAAAGGGACAAAGAAGCAGAAAGGCACATCCTCTTGTCACTGCCTCTGGCCCACCTGCCACCGACCCCTTCTCTGTCCCACTCAGGCCTCTCAGGATGGATGTCACCCGCCTGCTCCTGTCCACCCTACTAGTCTTTCTATGCTTCCTCACTGCCTGCAGCCACCTGGCACTTGAGGAAAAGCCCAAAGATGACAGATGCCTGAGGAGCAACTCCTCCAAGAATCTACTGGATTTCCCCTCTGTCTCTATTGTGGGTAAGTATCCGGGCCTGAGGACCATCTCTGGATGTGGCCCATGGGGTGGGGATGAGGGGCTGCAGAATGGATGTTAAGCCTATTCCCCAAGCTGTTATCAGGATTCCTTGTCATAGCCACAGTGTCTCCTTGCTCATTCTGCAAAATAGTCCTGGGGAAACACATAAAGTGTTCCTTGATTCATTTGGTTTGGGAAAGCCCTGCATACTATCAATCTAATATGTAATGCAGCATGTTAGAGAGCCTGAGAAAGCCTCGAGTTAAGATGCTTGGTGAACTTGCCTTAACTTAACATTTCTGAAACTAAATAAATCACAGAACTCCTATCACTGATGACAAACTTGAGGAAATGCTGCAGAATATAAACAAGTCTGGAGTGAACCAGTCCTGCCATACCAGCTTTGAGGCTTCCTGTGTTGTGCCCAGATTACGAAGTCCCAAAGACCACCAGGAGGCCGTTTCCGATGTAAGCACACGAGGGTCATTTATTCAAGCTTAAGCAGGGACTCTCAATTGTCACCGACACAGCGGATTGAGATTGAGAGCCCCGAGTTCCAAATTAGCAGGGTTTTTATAGAGGTTACAGCAAGCTTTGGTCATTAGCAGCCATATGATTGGTTAACATTTAGCAAGTATGAAGTGTAGAATTTTGATTGACTAGGCTCATTGGGGGTTGAAGGGGATTACGTATAGGTTTTTACAAGAAAAATGGGGACAAAGGTTAGTGGTCTACTGTCAAGTACTGATGGTCAGCAGACATCTTGACTAATGGTCATGACCACCTTGTGTGGATAGTTAGCATGTTAACAGATTGTCCTATAGATAGTGGGCCCGGGACACTTGTTTCTAGGGCAAACAGATGGCTGAGTAATGAGCTTAGGAATCTTGAGTTACAGATCATGTCTTTTGTCCCAGATTAAGCACATTTAATCATTAATTTGAAAGAACAAAGGAGACTGCTCCATTTTGGACAAAATGGAGTCATTCTGGTCTCACATTAGCAAAATGGAGTCACTTTTGGTCTCACACCTGCTCAGCAAAAGCTATGAGAGCCATTACAGCCTGGCGATGGAGAGCTTCTGATCTGTCTTCACCTGATACTGATAACAACAGACATGTGCTGGGGATATAATTCAGTAGCGCAGCATGTGGTCAGCATGTTCAAGGCCCTGGGTTCAATCCTCATAACTAAAATAGTAATAATAATAATAGACATATATACTATGTGCTGGGCACTGTGAGGTAGGCACTGTAGGGTTTTGAGGAGGGTTGGCAGTACTGGGGATATAACCCAGGGTCTCACACATGCTTCAGAGTACCACATGCTAGGTAAGTGTTCTACTACTGAGATACATCCTCACCCCTTTTTGAGACAAAGTCTCACTAAGTTACCCAGACTGGGTGTGAGCTTGGAATCTGCCTCCCTCAGTCTTCTAAGTTACCGAGACTACAGATATGTGCCATTAGGCCCAGCTGGCCCTGTTTTTATTCATATTTCACAATTTTGAGGAAATTGAGGCTCAGAAAAGTTAAGTAACTAGCCTAAAATCCCAGTTCTTAGTTGGCAGTGCCAGTTTTCAAACACAGGTAGATTCTGCATTTAATCTCAAAACTATCCCTTTATTGCCTTGGCTCTCATTATGAAAAGAGGATATTTTATAGACATATCAGGGAAGTAAAGGCAGGCAAGGAAGGGAACAATAACTTCCTTGACCACCTTTTGCCAGACATTTCACTTTTAAAAATACCTCATGTATCCTCTCAAGATGAGTAGAATAGAACCATTTTTACAGACGAGAAAACTGAGTCTCAAAGAAGTTAAGTAGGTTAACTAATTTCACACAGCTGTTATATGGCAGAGTCAGGATTCAAAACAGATCTGCCCTGCTCCAAGCTCTGAGAAATAGAAAATAGATAAAATAGGTACATCCAGGCTCAAGACACTGGGTCAGTTTTCATAATGCCACAATGTTCTTGTACCTGCCAGATTATAGACTAAAGAAGGGGGCTTTGGGGTGACTGAGTAGCCCACAACTATCAAGGTCAAGGGAACAGGCCTCTCACAGATGCCACAGGCAGGTCCTAGGACCTCCTTGGATTTCCTGTTTGCCTTCCCTCAGAGGACACTGCTTTCAGTCCTTGCCTCCAGCTCTACAGCTGGGCTAACAAGAACCTGCTGGCTTCCCACAGTGTGATTAATCCAGTCAATCCCTCCTCCTCTCTTCTACCCTGAGACTTCGCAGGCCCCCTCTGCTCCTCCTATTTCACTGCAGCTCAGGGCCCCAGAAACATCTGGCTTTGCTCCTTCTGTCTCTCTTTGAAGCACTGAACAAGAAATCCAAAACAATCAGCAGAAAAGAAGCAGAAAAAAGGAAAAGATCTGCCAAGGTAGGCCTGGGAGTTCTCACTGTGGGAATGGAATTGCATTTAAAAGGGGAGGACCTGCAACCTGTGGTTTAAAACTAAATGAAAGATTTTCTAGGCCTATATTAGCCAAAGAATTGAAAACTACCTGAAGGCTTCCTGGTCCCCATAGAAGACTAGATAGCTAAAGTTTACTGAGCAAAATAGCTTATCTGCTGAAAAGCAGCTTCTGATATCAGAAATTTCACCACTACTCATTCTTTTAAATGAATACAGTGTTTCTCAAACCTCAGACTTTTCAGAACCACTTCCACAACTTTTACCAGATCTGAGTTTCACCTACTTATTGAAAGTCAAAACTTAAAAAAATATAACTATGATGGAAAACCAGTATCACCATAAACAGAAGGTAACTATACGGGGCCGAGGATTTAGCTCAGAGGCACCATGTCTGACTCGCAAGCACAAAGTCCTGAGTTTGATCCCCGGTATGAAAAATAAAAAGAAGGTAACTATTAAAAAGTGAAAATAAAACATTGTTAGTGAATTCTAGCTGGATAGAATTATTGCCTGCCAAAGGCTCTAAATCTGAGCTCTGCATATAGAAAGTGTTGAAGAAGCATTTAGGACATGTTAGCACTGAACTGAGCTTCTCAGGTTGAAACAGAACTCTTTTTCACTGTATGATTCAGAGTTATTTAATATTCAGGTACCATGTAAAATCATACCACCACTTCCACACTTTGGGAAGCTGGAGTGAAGCATTGATGAAATGTACACATTATTTCTGTTTTGGTGTGCCTCAGTTTACCAGATCAACTGTAACCAGAGCAGGAAGCACTGGAGTAGGTATTGGGAGATAAGACCTGCCACACTGATCTTGAGGAAGTCCCTGTTCCTTTCTGGGCCTGTTTTGTCGGCTGTAAAGTGAATGAGCAGATCAGATGACTGATAGGAATAGGCAACGGAAAAATGTATACTAGTCACTGGGAATAGGGAAGTGAACAAGAAATATCCCTGCTTTCATGGAGTTTACATTCTTGTGGAGGAAAACAGCAAATAAATCAGTAACATAGGTAGAATAAATTCAGATGATAAATGCTGTAAAGAAATAAAACATGAATGAAAGAATAAAGGAAAGAGTCTTCAGAGACAGCCTAAGGAAACACTTTGAGGGGGGAGGCATACTAAGGATATGATAGCACACTAAGTTACATCCTCAGTCCTTTTTTTATTCTTTATTTTTGAGACAGGTTCTTGCTAAATCGCCAAATTGCCCAGGCTGGAATCAAATGTTCCATTGCCTCAGCTTCCCAGAGTGCTAGGATTACAGGAGCACACCACCACACTGCTAGAAAGCACATGTAAATAAAAACTCATAATCTAGAGCAGCAATGTCCAATAGAAACAATACATATATGATTTCAAATTTTCTACTAGCCACATTTTTAAAAATTATTAAGAAAAGCTACAATTATTTTTAATATTTTATTTAACCCAATATATTTAAAATACTAACATTTCAACATGTAACGTTTTGGGCTGGGAATGAGGTTCAGTGGTACAGTGCTTGCCTATCGTGCACGTGGCCCTGGGTTCAACCTCCAGCACACAAAAGAAAAAAACGTGTAAGCCCTTTTAAAAGTGATTGAAATATTTTATTCCTTTTTCATGCTCAGTCTTTGAAGTCTGGTATATAGCCGACACAGCACATCTCATTTCCAACGCTAAATCTTCAACAAAGTGAAATGTGGTCTTAACAAAGCAATAAACTTTATTTAGTAGGGGAAAATTTTTTAAAGTCACTTCAGTTTTAAAGTAAATAAAATAGAAAAATAGGTTCCTCAGTTGACTGCTATACAGTATTCAACAGCCACACATGGCTGTGGCTACTAGTGTTGAACAGCCAGCAAAGAATGTCCCCAGGCTAGGCAACAAGCTCAAAGGTCCCGCAGCAGGAATTTATTTGCTGTGTTGGGTTACAGAAGTCCAGTGGGGCAGAGGAATGAACATAGACTGAGAGGTGAGCAATACCAAAAGAAAGTTTATATTTTACTCTAGGTGCAAAGAGAAATTACTGGTGTTCTTTTAAGCAGGGAGGGATGCGATCATGTCTTCCCTGAGGTCCCTTCAATACACTGGAGGTGCCAGAGCGACAGAGGGCCTGGCCCAAGGTTGCAGCGTGGGAGGTAAAACAGGGAGTTGGGGGGTTCGGATGTATTAAGAAGACAGGGACTGCGGATAGACCGGAAGCCAGAAGACTAAAACAGTGCGTAGTTTAAAACTGTGGAGCTGAGTGGAGTCCTCTAGGAAAGGTAAGGACCAGCATTGGGCCAGGTGAGTCTGGATAAGGATGGAGGTGGAGGATTGAGGGAACCATTTGGGAGAGCGGAAAACTCGTTGGGATGCCTTGAGGCATGAGTCCAGCCGTCGGGGGTCAGCCGGGTAGCGGTGAGGGGTCCAGGACTTCCACAGCCCGAGGACTTTCCAGGCAGAGATGTGGACGGATAGGGCGGGCGTGGATGGCCCCGGCGTTCCGCCCACAGAAAAAGGCTTCGATGAAGAAGAAAGTGGCGCGGCCCCGGCCCCCGCTGCCAGAGCCCTGCGTGGCCACCCGCGACAGCTGCAAGCCTCCGGCGCCTGCCTGCTGCAAACCGTGCGCTTCCTGCCAGTGCCGTTTCTTCCGCAGCTTCTGTTCCTGCCGCGTGCTCAACCCCAACTGCTGACCGCGCCCCTCCCCCGCAGTGGGCTGGGACTGGGCTCCCGAGATCTGGGGGCGCTTCTAGGCCTGGGGATCTCTCGAAGGTGTGGCTTTCTGGGACTGGGTGCGGTGGAGCTTTAAGGAGGCAGGGCTTCCAGGAGAAAGAGCTTTTCGCTAAAACCACAATACAGTATCTGAAGGTTGCCGGAAGGTGTGTGGCTGTTTCTTTAATTGACCAGAAAGCTCGAGGTCCCTTCACCGAGCCCCCTTCACCTCGAAGTCACGTGCACTCCGAACGCTATACTTCCCTGGGGCTGGGGAGCTCGGTTACCCGGACTCCACAGCAGCACACGTGGTTTTGTCTTCACCAGATCTGGCTGCGGGGCACAATCCTGCCCTCTACCATTAAACCTGGGAACACTGAGGCTGCCTTCCAAACCAGGGAATGCAGGCTAGACAGACATAAGCCATTCAGGAACCGCTTTTCAGTTGTTCACCCTTTTCTCTTCTAAGGAGCTCCTCTCATGGGGCCCTTTTCCCCTCAAAGGAAAAAAAGGGGGGTCAGGGATTTAGCTCAGTGGCACTGCGCCTGCCTTGCAAGCACAAGGTCCTGAGTTTGATCCCCGGTACCAAAAGGGGGGGGGGGAGGAGCTGGGGATTTAGCTCAGTGGTTCCAGCGCCTCCCTCGCAAGCTTAAGGTCCCGAGTTCGATCCCGGTACCAAAAAAAAAAAAAAAAAGCAGTCTCGCTGGACTATTGGTTCCCATGGTTTTGCGAATAAAGAGAGGCGGCTGGTTTTGACTGGACCTTTTCTGTGGTGTCTACAGCCAGGAGGCTCTGGGTTGAGGATCCTAGGGCCTTCAGAGGCTCCCAGAGGTGCCACTTGAGCCAACTCCTCCCTCTTTCCCAGGTGTGTTGGAGTTTCTTCCACCCCGAGCTAAATGAATACTGGCATGGTCCCCAGGCATTTTTAACTCTAAAAGCCTAGAGTTTGGGTTCTCAAGTAGGAAGCAAGAATTCAAGGATCTTTCCTCACTCCTCACCCCAGCTGTCAGCAGGAAAGAAGGCCCGGGCATAATGAGTAGGCAGCAATCATGCTCAATTATCAGGGACCTGTTGCCAAAAAATGTTCCAAGCTGTTTTCTGAAATTCTGCAGACTTTGAGTCTGTGAGAAACTGAGGTGCAGACAGCACATCTTTAGAAGACCAGGAGGAAGGTTGGGGGGGTCTGGGATATGGCTTTGGGAAGTGAGGGGTAGGAGGTCTGGGCAGGGTCTTAAGGAAAGGCCAGTCAGGGTGAGGGGTCACATGGAGAATCTCAGCATCTTGGAAGGAAGAGCTCCAGATAACATCATCTACTTGCTCTGCTTGACTGGACACCCTGCTAGGAAGGGAGAAAAGCTGAAGTACCACATATCAGTGTCCCGCAACAGCCAGCTCCAGGTTAAGCTGTCAACACAGTTCTGCACACTGGGCAAGTCTTTGTGTCTATCTGGGCTTCCATTTACATATCTATAAAACAGGGACTAATCATTCATGCTGTTTTTGTTATATATGCAAACAACATACAGCCTTACCCTTAATACAAAAACACATACCCCCACAGAAAAGCTGCAGTTACTTGTTTTGTTTTCTGTCATTTAGGCTCCAAGCCCACTGGGCAAGAACCTTTTGTTCCTTGGCCCACAGATGCTGCTGAGTAAATGTCATCAGTGAGGAAAATATTGGAAACATATTGCAGCAATTGCTCGTGTGTTTTCCAGACACTGTTCACCAATCAGGCACCATTTGATCCTCAGGCCTGAGGCTAGGGATACAAACCAAAGACTCAGCCCATTAGTAAGGAAGCCATTTAGCTGCCGGGTCTAGACAACCACATGGAAAACTAATCCATTCATTTCTTCAACATATTTGTACTAAGCACCTTCTGTGGGCCAGGCACTATAAATACTGTGATGAAGAAATCTAACATAGATGCTCCCCCTACAGAACTCATAGTTCAGTGGTCCATGATCATTGGCCCTGGTTAGAACTACAACCATTCTTAGCATATGTGATCTCTTCCCTCAAACTCTTGGTTCTTACTCTGTTGACCCAGATCCCTGGTTAGGTATTTGTAGTCCAGGTTCTCCTTCAGTTTGAGATTTTGAAATTCCTCCACAGTTTCAGGATTCCTCCTCAAGCTTAGAGCCTTGAAAAAATGGTTCTGGGCCCCCACAAAACTCTGCCTGGCTTGATAACCAAAGTTGAAACTCACGTGTGTGGCTCAGAGTTATAGTTTTACTGTTATGATGATGATGTGGGTACTCCATCTCCAATCTCCAACACAATTATTCATATTCTCCCCGCCCCCCTCTGTCTCTCTCAGTGCTGGGGATCAAACCCAGGGCCTAGCCCATGCTAGGCAAGTGCTCTGCCACTGAGCTACCTCAGCCTCCAGATGAAATCTTAGAGAACCTCATTATATAATACACATTAAAGTATTTTAATTAGTATAATGTTATAATCATGCACACAAAAAACTGAAATCAGAAATTAAATACAGTGGACCCTTGACCTACGAACTTGATCAGTTCTCAAGGGAGGGATGGTTATAAGTCAATACAGCTGAGATTTTGATGTTTACCTGGATACACACTATAGATAACTGGAGGCAGATGAATCTTCCATTAACCCAAGTTGTTCGTATGTTAGGCCATTAGTAACTTGAGGGTCGACTGTATTAATAGTTGTTCTCCTTTATCAACCCCAGTGACCAGTTTATTTTGTCTTTTGTTTTGTTTGCACAGTATTCAGGAAGGTTTAAATCACACAGAGAAGTTGTAAGGTTTTTAACAGCTTACCCTGTGACCTTAGAACAGTCTTCTATTAAACAGAAACAGCAAGAAGTGTATTGCAAAATTTGGTCCAGGTAGTTTCCGATGTGTTAAAATTTGGTGCACAGCACATTTAAACATGTACGTTTTAGTACATCTTTTTTAAAGTAGAAATTGAAGCTTATGATTTCACAGAAGCAGTATATACCCCTTCTTGAATTGTGGACCATAGGTCAACTTAATTGGCAATTGTTGGGTCCTTAATCTAAGTCTGAATAACCACAGATCTAGCACCACTACGCATGATCAGGAAATTACTGCTGTCTTTAGGAACTTTATAAAGAGATTTAACTCCAAAGGCCAATTCCATGTGTGAAGAGAACAGGATAAGTAAAGAATGTGATTTGAACTGAATTAGCCAAACCATCTGCAGTAAATTTCAGATAAATTTCAAGTAGACAAGTTATTCTCTTCTTCCATGGGCCAAGGACATAGCTGTGTGTTTTTAGAGAAGATGGGAGGGGAGAAAAAGAATGTATTTTATCAGTAAAATCCTTGCAAATTTTCAAATGTTTACATTCACTTCAAATAGCTTTCCACTGATACCTTGCACTGAACAGTAGCTAATTACCAACTCCCAGCTGGATATGAGAGTTGAAGAGTCTGGGAAGTGGCACTTCCTAATGGTGGTGGTGGTAATGCTGCTTATACCATCTTGTTGCCTGGAGAGCCCAGCAGATGGTGTCATTTATTTGAATCCTGAAGATTTTATACATTCCAGAACTCTTCTTTAGAATTCCTGTACCACTGGCTATGAAGACTACTAGAGCAACAGCAACATCACAACTACTTGAGTCCAAATGCAGCTCCACTAGCCCAGAGTAAGCTCCTGGAATCACTCTTGCACCACACCAAATTTCTAGCAAAAGTCCTAAAGTCTGGATGAACTTGACCCACATGCCTGTCCTTAAGCCAATTTGGAGAATTGATCAATGACTGACTAGGCCTGGATCACGTAAGCAAATGCTTCTGGCTGCCTTGACCACCTCAAGCAGGTTTTTTAGCTTTGTTCCCTAGAGTAGTCTTGAGTGAATCTCAGGGATCAGGCTCTGGGCTTTCCTGGAACCTCAGATCTCCTAAGCAGAACTGACCACTCCCTGCTGCATCCTAAAGTTTTCACTGGCATAAATAGGTCCCTACACCCTTTCCTGAGTTTTAGTCCATGCTATCTCCAAGCCCTTTGAGTCCATTACTTCTGTCCCAGATAGGACTTGAAAGGGGATCTCAGTGCCTAGGGCCCTTCCACCACAACTGGACTGGACACATGGAGCGGGTCATGGAGCTTGATGTCCAAAGAAGAGCCCTGCCCTATGGAAGCAGGCAGGATGCCCAGACCTTCAGAGTGACTTTGAATAAGTCAGTTAAGTTCTCTGGGCTTCCATCTCTTCATATTCAAATTCTGGTTTCTGCTCAGTAATGTTCTAACTGTAAGGTCCTTCCTAGCTGTAGGATCCTATAATTTCTCCCAAGTATTTTCTAAATATTCTAAATTCCCTGTCCCCAGAACAGCTCTGTACACTCCCCTGGTGCCTAGTACGGCCATTAAAACTCAAAACTCTCTACACACATTATAAGAACCATCTGAGCTGATATTTCTGTCCCTGTCCCAAGTTACATGACTCAACAGCAGACCCAGATCTCCTCCTTCCAAACCCTAGACCACTGCTCCACAAATTCTCAAGCCTCATCTTCCCTTTTCTTTCCTGAGGGAAAGGAAAATTGCAAGGGCCAAGCCAGATACTGCTATACCCTCAACCAATTTCTTTTCCCATGAAGCTTTGATGGGGAGCCCAGATGTCAGGAATAGGGGTGAGGGATCACATCCTTCATTGTGAGTACTTGATCAGAGTCACACATGCGACACATCAGGCAGACTTGAGATCAGAGGTACATCTGAAACCAGATGTGAAAAGAGGAGAGGCTTTAAAACAATGAAAGGTTCTGAGAATTGACAGGACATCTCCAAAGAGGAAAGGAAAGACTAGGATAACAGAAACCAGAACCCTGGACAGGCAGGAGGTGGGGGGCTCCATGGGATCTCACAGGAAGGAACATCTGGAAGTGTTTCCTGTGGCTGGGTGGAGACAGACTGGACAGAAAGGAGGTGCATACCCACAGATGGGGCCCTTTGGAGGGAGTGGCAAAGCTGCTGTGCAATCAAACTTCTCTAGCTCAGGTGAACAGGAACTTCCCCCTCTTTTCTAGCAAGTTATCATCCCAAAAGCCACTGTAATAGAACTGAGGTGGGGCATCTTTGCTTGAGGGAACCTGGGCTATAGTTCTAGAGTGATTTGGCTGTGTTGAGGAATCTGAAATTAGTTCTCCACCTAAACCTGAGCCTCAGTGTGGAACATACTTGGAATCCAAGTCCAACTCTTGTGCAGTCTAGTGCAAAAGCCAGTTCATTCCTACAGCACCCGGTTTCCTGATACCTGGCACAGGAATTCAAGTTTCTACAAAGATCTCATAAGGAATGAACAAGATCATACCTCAAAAATGCTTACTAGGCACAAAACCTGGCACACAATAGATATGCAAGAAACAGCAAGGGTTATTTATTGTATAGCTCTGATCCACTGTGACCACTGACACAATCAGTTGAGAAGTGGGTTCCTCACACTTGGCACTAATAGTTGAATTACCAAACTGTAAATTATTTTCAGCACTCATCATATATTCATGTAACTTCAACTATGTACTCAGAGTGAAAAGTTGTGAGAACTATTTAAGGGCAGGACACCCTAATGAGCATCTAAGTTCACATGAGCAGTTTTCATCTTCTCGTGCCTCTCTGACCAGGGGCTACTTAGTGTGATTCAAGGATTTTGCTTGACATCACATCCTTAAGGAAAGTACCTACCCATTGAACTTTTTAAAAATACAGCAAACAAGGCCTTTTCTACATCACTCAGATGCATTTGCACTCAAGTGCATTACAGTGCAAGACATGGGCAAGGGAGTGTCACATATATGAAGCTAGTTGAGAAAGCTGATGAGTGAGGGATGGTCAGCCTTATGTTCTGGTACCTCACATTCTCTTATATTGCAGCTCTAAATGCTTCAACTTGGAAGAAAGAATACTAAAGTATTAAATTGAGACAGAGAATCACTCACCAACCGAGACAGGAATCACCACAAGGACAATGGGCAAATAAACTCCTGACCCCTTAATCTTTAATCCTTAACCCCCAAGCCCATTAAAAGTATAGTACACATTTCTTCCTGCCTTTCAGCTTTTCAGATGATGTTATCATAGGGACCAGATGGACCACAAGACCAGATGCACAAGTCAGAGTGTTGGCACCATGTCTCCAAAGAATAAATGACTCCCGACCAGTATCTTTCACAAAGAATTCTTGTAAAAAATACACTCATGACCCTCACCCATCACAGCAATCTCAATAAAGTTTGCCCCTTCATCTGTTCAGGGGACAGCCTGGTTTCTCTTTTAATCACCAATGTTAATCCTTCTGCTTGAAGGAAAGTCCCATTAAACCCTTACCTGTGGCTAAGAATGTAGTTCAATGGTAGAGCTCTTGTGTAGCATGCATGAGACCCTGGGTTTAATTGGGGGAAGTACTTTCCTGCGTACTTGTGATACTTGTTTCGATCTAATTTCTGTAGTGTCCTGCCTCCAGTAACACAATCCCAGCTACTGCCTTGTCAAAACCTCACGCCTTAAATGGAACAGGCTTCATGCAACACTTCCCATGTCTCACATGAGGGCATGTGATCAAGCTGTGTGAGTGCAAGTGTCACTATTTATCATAGGATTGTGGGTCAGGCCACTCACTCCTTTCCCCATTAGCAACATGGTAGTAATACCACCACTTCACAGCCAGAGGCTGAGAATACAAAAACAAGCATCACAATTGTGAAATGTTAAGTGGGGACATTCCAGGGCTCTGTGTTGTTCAAGGATTAAAACCAAAGGCCTCTCTGATGTTCAAGGCCTTTCCTTCCTGTCCTCCAGGCCACCTCTCCAGTCTTCTCACAGCTCCTCCTAGATTACAGCCAAACAACTTCGCTACCCGATACCGCTCACATTTGTAGTTGTCCTGTGTTGCATGCTGTTTACTTTCAACTTCTCCAATTAATCTTCAGTTCTTTCAAAATCTATTCAAGCACCACCTCTTCTCTGATGCCTTTCTCCTACTGTTGCCAGGCACTGAACTCTAAAGCTAGCCAGAAAAGAAGTGCCAGAGATGCCGGAGCTGTTTATGCACCTGATTTCTCCCACAGTTGGTGTCAGCTCTCAAAACATCTCAACATCTCCATCAGGCCTTTTGTTCAGTGGATGGCCCTCAGAACAGTCTCCAGTTAAGTCTTCCCAGGAGGGCTCTTGCTTGTTTGATTTTGAAAATCAGAGAGGGGTTCAGTAAGTGGTCATTTAGGCAAACAGAAGGATGTCCAATTTCCCACCCATGTTCCCGTGATTCACATCATGAGGCCTCTTGTGTGAGTTTAGGAAAGCCACTCTCATCTGTAAAATCAGCTAATAATATTACTAAGGTTGTTGTGAGAATAAACTAAATGAACTACAGAGGCCCTAGTACCCAGTAAGTGCTCAATAATCCCCAAGGTATACTGGATCAATCCAAAAAAAGTGGGAATGGGGAGACAAAATTTGATAGAACTCAAGAAATGAGAGGAAAATATAGAGATTACAATTATAAATAGGTTAAATTTATAAACCAATTAAAAGTGTCTTAAATTTAGTTAGAAACAGGTTATTTGTAAGACACACTCTGAAAGCTAAGGGTTCCCTCTTTACCCATCCCTCCAAGCCTAAGGAGTTGCCAGCAGCCCTTATCTTTCCACACTGCAGGTGATCCCTTGTCTTCTCAATGCATCATCAGTACCTGACTATAGCCCCCTGCTCATGTTATACATCGCTAGCAGTGGATTATGTATACAATAAAGGCTCAGAATTCTTTAAGGCACCAAAATTTTTATTTACCCACCTTCCTGCCTTCTTTTAACATTCTAAACATTATATGAACATTAGAAACCAAATTAATTCTTTTGACTCAGGGCTGTGGTAGGAACCATCATATTACAATGTCATGGCAAATCCATGCATGCTTTTATGTTCTTGTGGCCCTTGTCAACCTCTGGCTATCACCTCTTTGTCCTTTCTTGACCATCCCTTACAGTCTATTCTAATCCCTGTGAAATAGGGACTAAAAAGACTAACTTTAATATTCTGAGGTTTACGAGAAGGCCCAGCACTAAATAATCCAAGCTCTCAGGAACACTTAAACTCCAAGAGTTTTCTTCGCCCCTTGAAACAGCTCCTTCTCATCTATCATGGGCTGAGAAATTAGTAAATCTGTAAATCAAGCACACAGGTCTAAGTTCATAGGCCAGATGAGGGCCTAGACAGTAATGTGCATGCATTTTGTGACTACTACTACCAACTTCCAGCCTAAGGAAGGACTGACCGACTGAGCACTTCTAAGACCCCTGAGCTCATGGTTCCCTATGGATGTCTCTCTTGACACCTCTCCATTCCCCTTGCCGCACTTGGAACAGTATGAAGGATGACCAGCCCCAGGGGCCCCAGGGAGAACACTGGGAAAGCAACTGCAAAGTTGGTGCCACTTGCTCTAAGAAAGGAAAAGTGGGGACTGGACAAGGATGGCAGCTGGAAGGTGAAAGGCAGTTCTGGCTCTCAATAGCGGTAGTGATCAGCCTTGAAGGGGCCATCATGGGCTATGTCCAGGTACTGGGCCTGCTTCTCAGTCAGCTTGGTCAGCTTCACATTCAGCTTGCCCAGGTGGGCTGCAGCCACTGCTTCATCCAGCTAGGGTAGGGAGAAACAAAAGGAAAACCTGGAATAAATGCCATGACCTTGGATCCTTTACCTGCATCCAGCAACCAAAAGGCAGAAACTACTCTTCTGGGGTATCTGCCATGTGTGTTACCCATATTACATTTCATTCAACCCTCACACCCAGCCTCAGTAGGTATGTTGTTTTGGATGTCTAGTTTCCTGTTAAGAGGGAAATATGCCATATCCTCCAAGGCCCCCTAGTGAGACCATCAAATCTATCTTCTTCCTCATCCTCCACCAACTTGGGCAGCTAACTAAAATGCTTCTTTGGCATTTACTTATGGTCTAGGACATATTTTCTATGAGGTAGAGATGGGGCATTCCAATTCCACTAGGACTCCTAAACAGGGAAGGGTATCCATCTCAGCTCACCGCTGTCAAGTCTATTTGACAAGTGAAATGAATATAGAGAAAAAAAGAGTCAAGAGACAGAGAAAAAGAGCCACAGGTCTAGGGGTGTTGCTTAGAGGGAGAACATGTGCTTAGCATGTATGAGGCCCTGGATTCCCCAGTACCCTTCTGTGTAAAAACCAAAAAACTATGATGACATTAAATCCTAGATCCAGGGTCTGAATCTTATACTTCTCCATTATATAGTCAAGAGTTCCTTTCTTGATTAAACTTTTCTTGACTAAAATATATCTATATATGTGAGGTTCACTAAATATTCTTTGATACTCTTTCCTTCAAGAGGTAGAAACTAATTCTCATCCCTGCGTAACTCAATTCTAATATAATAAAACAGAAGCAACGGTATATGATTGGAGATAAGGTCATAAAAGGCAATGTGGCTTCCTCCTTGCCCTCCCTTGGGTTAGTCTACCAGGAAAGTCAGCTGCCAACTCCTGATGGCATGTAAAAAACCTTATTGAGAGGCCTGTGATGAAGAATTGAGACCTCCCATCAAGAGTGATATGCAGTCAATCTTCCAGTCCCAGACAAGCCTTCAGATATCTGCAGCCCTGGCAGAAATCTTGACTGCAACCTCATGAGAGACCGAGTCAGAAGCACCAGCTAATCTGATCTCAAATTCCTACCCACAGAAACTGAGAAACAAATGTGTATTCGTTTTGTTGTTGTTTTGCTACTATGGTACTAGGGATTAGACCCAGGGTTCACTAAGCTACACCCTCAGCTCTTTTTTAAATTTTGAAACAGGGTCTCACTAAATTCCCCAGGCTGCCCTCAAACTTGCCACCCTCCTGCCTCAGCCTCCCAACTAGTCAGGGTTACAGGTATGAGCCACCACACCTGGCTACTATTTCATTTTTCTGAGACAGGTTCTTATTAAGTTGACCAGGATGGGCTCAAACTCCTAAGCTCAAGACATCTTCTGCCTCAGCCTCCTGAGCAGTTGAAACAGGTATATGCTAGCATACCTGGCTAAATATTTATTGTCTTAAGCCATTAAGTTTTGAATTTAAACTGTTATATAGTGGTAGATAACTAGCATTCTGATTTGAACAAAATTCCCCCAGTGACTACCAAAAGGACCCTGACTAGTAAAAATTGCCAGGACTCCTTTTACAAATAAGGAAATCACAGCTCAGAAACCTGGAATGATTTGCCCAAGGTCACACATCTATCTAGTGAATGACAAAGCCAGGATTTGGCTCCAATACCCCAAAACACATCTCACGAATCTAAGCAATGGCCCTGAGGGCAGCTTTGAAGAGATTATGAAGAAACCAAGGACAGAGGCTGGGGATAGATAAGGCAAACTGACCACTGTTGAAATGCATGAAAAGAAGCTCAAGAGGCTACACTTAGAGAAAGGTCAACTCTGAGTGTTGCTCTCACTTTCTCAGCTGCTAGTGACAGGTGGAACCTCTTCCTACCCCTAGGATCCCAAGTTCATCCATGATGGCAGGACAGCTTCTGACCATGGCCCACCCCACAGTTTTATATTCCCCAGTAGTTTCGTATCCACTAGAGCTCCAAAAACATCCATAAGGAATGCAGGAAGGGCTGGAGCCTAGAGAAAGTGATAATGGGCCAAGCAAGACACACACAAAGGCAGGACCAGCCTAGTCTGAAGTTCATGTCAATTCTAGCAGTGGAATGAAGGCCTCCAACTCCCAGAATACAGACTGAATGGTCCATCCCTTTGTTTGGCCCAGGGTGGATCCTAGCTCAGGATACCCTTCCTTCTTCCAGGACCCTGAGTCAGAAGGCAGTGTGCCATAACAGTTAACAATCTAGACAGATACAGCTGAGTTCTACTCCTGGCCCAACACTTCATAGCTATGAGAGCAAGCTGATCTCCAAACCTTAGTTTCACTGTTTGTAGGACAGATGTAACAACCATTCGTCTTTCACAGCTGTTACAAAGATCAATGATATTGAGTGGTTAGTGCAAGCAGGTAATTTAATAAATCGTGGCTTCTCTGTCATCGTTAACCATGATATCTAAACCCTCACCTACACATAGGAGGCATAAAGCAGGAATGTCCTGTTCCTATGCCATGTCTTAGCAGAGATGGAAGAAGGTAAGGATGAGTCTTAGTGAGAAGGCAAATCCTTGCCTTTTTTACTTCCAAACCTGACCTCATTTCAAAAACCTAACCAATTCTCACCAAATTCAGTCCTGTTTCTCCCAGTCGGGATCAGGTGAAGGGTCAAGTGAAAAACTTTTAGTTCTATAACAATACTGGGGATCTGGTAGGCTGTATAGACCAAGGTGGCTCTTGAGGTCCTTCTGTTAAAACATTTGGTCCAGGAAGACAAAGGGGAAGGAGTTGGCTGGTCCTGAGGTGTAGAGACTCCAGGCCCTGAGTGTATACCCAGATGTCTTCCTAATTCCTCAGGTGGCAGAACCAGCCTTGCATGGGGTGGTGGGTTGGTATGAAGACCACATGGACCCTCCAGTAACCAAAGTCTGGAAAAGCAAAAGATACTCTTGGTAGGGAAACTGAATACAGTGGACCCTTGACTTACAAAATCAATGTGTTCTCAAGGGCTGGTTGTAACTCAACTTGGTCAATTGAAGGCTTAGATTCCTTTACACAGCCTTCAAAGTCTCTGTCCTGTATACAGACAGATCTCAGGGTCCTTAGAGAGACATTGGTCCAGGATTTCTCAATTAACCCCATACAGAAAAGGATGTTGTAATGTTCCTTCCAGAACTCTTTAAGAGTTAAATCTGTATCTGAGACCATCTAGAATCACAAAAGTCTGGCATTTGGGTCGTAACTCAAGACTTGTCGTGAAGTTAAAACTAAAATTCCAGTCATAATCTAAGTTGTTCATATGTCAAGCTGGTTGTAACTCGAGGGTCTACTGTATCAGACAGGTAAGTATCAAAGGGATACTGTGATACTGGCAAAATGAGGCAGAACTAAATACAATTCTCACCCCTGGGGATGGGCAGTTTGCATGGGATGTGTAGATGAGTGCTGGATTTGATGTCAGAAGGACTCACCGTCATGGTTACCCTGCCATCCCCACAGGTGGGTGTCAGGTATCGTGCTTAGTGCTGCATCAGCTTATTTGAAGGCCTATAGACTGCACTCACAGACATGTCTGAGTTGACCCACTTGTTTATTTTAAAAACTATAGTGAGTTGCCTACATTGAGAAATTATTTCATGCCATTTCTTGGCATACAGCTTCTCTTCAAAGCTCAGAATCCCTGGTCCAATGGACCTGAGCTCTCAGATGCTGATGAGGGCCAGGCATCCTTTTACATCTGTACAGACATGTAGGTTTGGGCCCCAAATTAAGGAAATGCTCACAATCCTTAAGGGAAGTCTCATCACTTTCATTTTACAGATGAGAGAAGGGAAGCACAGAGAAAATAAGTAACTGCTCCAGTTACACAGCCTTATGTGGTGATGTTGAGACCAATGGTGGGTCCTCCTCCAAAGCCCGTGCTCTTTTTACCACTCTAGATATGCTCCAGGAGTCATGCCCCATTGCGGGTGACAGTTTCCTCTTCTGTCAAGTGGGGAGAATGATTCGGTACTACAGAGGACTCTGTTAGGACCTCTAAGAGAGCAGACAAGCCCTTTATAAATTCTAGCAAGCCCTTAGTGGAAGCCTAGGATTGGATGCTTGAGGAGGAACCAAGAACCTACCTTCTTGGGCAGGAAGTGAACCCCAACAGGGTACTTGTCTGAGTGGGTCCACAGCTCAATCTGTGCCAACACCTGGTTTGTGAAGGAGTTGCTCATCACAAAGCTTGGGTGGCCCATGGCACAACCCAGGTTAACCAGACGGCCTTCAGCCAGCAGGATGATTCGGCGCCCATTCTTCAACCGATAGCGGTCCACCTGCAAGTCACCAGGACAACAGTGAGGCCTGGAAGGCACTGCCTCACAACACCGCTGCCTCCCACCTTGTCCAGGAGAGGCCAGGAATGCCCCAGAACAAACAACCTTCAAACAGGGCTGGCACATACAATTAATAATAATAGCCAGCTGGGCATGGTGGCTCATGCCTATAATCCCAGTACTCTGGAAGGCTGAGGCAGGAGGATTGCAAGTTTGAGCCAAGCCTAAGCAATTTAGCAATTCAGCAAGACCTTGTTTCAAATTTAAAAAGGGCTGGAGAGGAGCTCAGTACAAAAGGCCATGGTTCATTCCCCAGTACCATCAAAGATGATGATAATAAAAATAGTAATAATAATAATAGCCAATAAACTCATAGATCTGTTGAGAATTTAATGAGCCGACACCTGTAAAGCATATGGCACACACTAGGTACTTAGTAAGTAGTAGCTAATGTTATTTTTATTATTGCTCTTGAGTGCATCCTAAAATTTCTGCCTAATAAACCCTTCCCATGCCTATTAAAAACTTTAAAAAAATTTTTTTAAGGGAACGCATGGTCACACTAGCAGAGATTCCTATTTAGGTGGACCATGGAGTGACTACCAAGGTTGAGTGACTGAATGTGGAAACCCCAGCCTCAAGGCCCTCAATCTTCCAACCCTCCCAGCTGACTGACCACACGTATTTGCCTTCTCTCTACTCTGAGCCTTTCATTCCTCCTTCCTCACACAGACTTCCAAATATTCCCCCAAAAGCCTAGGTTTTCAGACTACTCCAAGATGCCTGGTACAAGTCCAAGGAAAGTTGTCCGATGCTCATCAAGCATTCCTTCACTGCATGAGCATTCACCAACACCCATCTAGCCTGGCTGGGCCTGTGGTGTGGCTCTTACTGGGTGGTATCAACTGTCTACATCAGTGCAACATCTCAAAGACAGCATCACAAATTCAAAGTGCCCGACAGTAAGTGGGCTGTTTTCTCTTGTTAAAATGTGGTAAACATCTTTGTATACATATTTAGTTAAGGATCAACTGCTAGGTGAGACTGCCCACTCAGAGTACTCAGGGGCTGGGAGTGTAGGTCAGTGAGAGCACATGCTTAACATGTACAAGACCCCAGGTTCCAACAACAAAAAAGAGCTTGCTTAACTTGCAATCTCTTGATATGTAAAGCCGAAATGTTCTCTAGAGAAGAAAATAAACAAATCCAAATAAAATATCATATACCCTAAAGGAACTCATCTTTCAATGCCCTCCGCAAACCTGTCCTTTCCCCAGCTCAGTAAATAGCCTACTTTTCACACAGCTGTTCCAGCCAGAAACCCGGCACCCTTCCCAGTTCCTCCTCCATCTGACCCCTGGGTGAGCCCATCATCCCTAGTACTCTCCCTTCTCCCACCCCATCCCACTGCTTCCATTTTCCAAATGGTATCCAGAAGGATCTTCCGAAACAGCAACCTCACCATGTGTGGCTCACCTGCCTCATACCCTCAGGGACTCCAGGTGCCCTCAGGATCAAGTCTGACACCTAAGTTTAGCTCTGAAACCAGGCTCTCTTCCTCACACCCCACCATCTGGGTTGCAACAACCTCTTTATCCGACCTCTTTGGTGGGTGGCCCACAAGCAGGCCTCACTATTCTACTGCCAGCCTGCTGGCAGGACTGGAGATTCTCACCTGGGGTTTGATGTTCACCTTCTCCACAGCATTCTCATTAAGCCACTTCACATCGATCTCCACATCAAAGTGTCCAATGTTACACACGATGGCATCATCCTTCATCTGCTCAAAGTGCCTATGGGGGGTGCCCAAGCCCATAGCAGACCATCAGCGACAAAGAGTAGTCCCATGTCTGCCGCACTGCTCACTCCCCAGGATCCCCACATGGCACCTACCGACCAATGATAATGTCCACACAGCCCGTGGTGGTGACAAAGATGTTGCCCTCCTGACAGGCCTCCTCCATGGTAGTTACCTCATAGCCTGTGTAGACAGCAGCTGTGGTTATCTAGGGTGGCCTCGCCCCTTCTCTGGCCCCAGTGGTTGACAGTCAACCCTTGCCTCATCATACCCTCCATGGCAGCCTGCAGTGCATTGATGGGGTCAATCTCAGTGATGATGACGCGGGCTCCAAAACCCCTTAGGGCCTGGGCACAGCCCTTGCCCACATCGCCATAGCCTGCTACAACTGCAACCTTGCCTGCAATCATCACATCTGTGGCCCGTTTGATGCCATCTATGAGGGATTCCCGGCAGCCATAGAGGTTGTCAAACTTGCTCTGAAAGGAGAGAGGGAAAGGGAATAATGGGGGCAGGTAAAGCCCTAGATCCCAACCTCAAAGGGTTCTGCAGGGTCCCAGAGCCTCAGGCCCACCCTACGAGCCGCTCACCTAGCCATCACCCAGACCTTCTCCCTAGGCTTTCTCTGTTGGTCCAGAACCCTTCCTAAGAATCAATTACTAGGAGAGATTGCTAGGTCAAAAAATTTGCATAACTTTAAAGCTCTTGACAAAGCCATAATGCTCTTGAAACCCAGCTCTGAAGCCTACTGGGTAGCTCTTCCTTTCTCTAATGCACCCACTACCCTCAGTCTGTAGCCCCTTTCCCACCTTCATGGGCGCCCTCCTTCACAGGCCCACTCCTAAGCTGCACCAGGAGCCAACAGCTGGAGCATTCATTACAAGGCCTCACCTTGGTGACAGAGTCATTGACATTGATGGCAGGCACCTTCAGTATCCCCTTGGCCATCATCTTGTATAGGTTGTGGACCCCAGTTGTGGTCTCCTCAGAAATGCCTCGGATGCCTGAACAAGAAGGGAAGAGCATCAGAGACCACATCTGAACTCACCCAAATTCCTCATTTTGCCCCAATGCCATTCCTTTTTCTGGGTTCCCATCTCCATGACTGATACCACAGTCAACCCAATCCCTCAAGCCAGCCTAAGTAAGGAGTCACCTATAGGGAATCCATCACCAGGCGTAGTGACTCCATTTCCCAAAATCTCCCAACTTCTCTATTTCCACTGCCCCTGCCTTAGTCCCTGCCACTATCATTTCTCACCTGGTTTTTGTGTAATAAAGTAGCTGCCAGCAGCTACTTTTTTTACTTTTTTTGGTACCGAGGATCAAACTTGGGACCTTGCAAGGCAGGTGGTGGAACCACTGAGCTAAATCCCTGGGCCCCAGCAGCTACTTTTAGCATGTACATTTTCAGTGAAATCTTTTCAAAACCCTCCAATAAATAATATGCCCTCAGGGGGCTGGGGATTTAGCTCAGTGGTTCTGCTGCCTGCCTTGCAAATGCAAGGCCCTGAGTTCGATCCCCAATACCAAAAAAAAAAAAAAAAAAAGGTAATAATATGCCCTCAGGATCAAGCCAAATTCTTCTCTCTTGGCATATTCAGGTCACAACTAAAGCTCCATCCAGATCCTGTAACATTTCCTAAGGAAGGTTCCCTTCATTCACTGTAATCCTACTGGCTTTGTTTCCTGCATAATCAGTCCTTTCCTGCCTTTGTACTCTCTGTACCCCACTTCTCAACTACTCTCCTTCCTGTCCTGCCTTTAACAAAGCTGGCTCTTCTCAGTGTTAGAGAGTGTTTAGCTGCTCTTGCTATTCCCAGCCCTGGCCCTATGCTGGCCCTTGGGCTATCAACTCAGCCTTGCCCCACCCACCCAAGCTGAGCTGACCTCACTCGTAAGTCAGAAGGTCAAGCCCTAGCATGCCTGCAGGCACCCACTGCCCTCCAGTCTTCCACAGAATCTGGGAGTTCTGTCAGGCCCCCTGTTTTCATGCAAAGGAGCAGGACCTGTTCAGGCCACCAGCATCCAGCCCACCTACCCCACCCTGCTTACCTGACAAAAGTTGTGGGTACTTAGTGTGAATGAGGTTGGTAAGGTCACCACCATCGTCCAGAATCATGTTCAGGGGCCCATCCTTGAAGTACAGAGTCTGCTCAATGCACCACAGGTATTCCTCGTCTGTTTCACCCTTCCAGGCATACACTGAACGGTAAGTAGCACATCAGGGCCTCACCTTCCCCACCAACACCTTTGCTTTAGGGAACCACCAGGGTAGAGCAAATACTATCTCCTTCCTAATTCCCATCCTCACCCACTTCCAGCCCCCTGAGAACTCAGTAGTAAAAGCACTACTTGGGCCAGGGATTTAGCTCAGTGGTTTCACCACCTGCTGCGTAAGTACAAGGACCCGAGTTCGATCCCTGGCACCAAAAAAAAAAAAAAAAAAAAGTAAGAGCACTACTTGGAGCCAGACAGATCTGAGCTCAAATCTTGGCTCTGGCACTTATCAGAGCTATGTGACCTTGGGCTAATCACTTCATTTCTCTGAGCCTCAGTTTGTTCCTCAATAAACGAGGCTCACAACAGTATGGACTAAATGAGACAGAGGCCAAGTACAACACCTCAGACTGGGGATCTAGAAACAATTACTGCTTTCTCATCCCCTTCTGCCTGGGCTCTAAGGACTGGGACATCTGCCTATAGTGACCCAGGTTCACACCTACCATGGGACCTCTTTTTCAGTGAGACCCATAAGGCAGGACCCAGAGTTGGTTCTGCACTGAGGGTCTTGAGGGCCCAGCAGTCTCTGAGATGGGGAGTCTCAGGGAATGTTTGGCCAAAAAAATTACTAAAAGCAGCTACTACATATGGAGGACTTCCTCTGTGCCAGACATGACTCTAACTGCTCCATCTTATTTTTCCTCATAGAAACCCTGTGAGGCAGGGATTACCATCATCACCACATACAGATGTGGAAAGGGGGACTAAGATATGCCTGGATCACTCAGCATGGCATTGCAGAATAGGCATCAGAACTAAAGGCTACTGACTGCCAGTCAGTGCTCCTCCCATCATAGGATTTGACTGGGACACTAGCATGCCGCTCCCAGGAGCCTCCTTTGAGCAAAGGACACAGGTCATGCAGGGACAGCTGGCCTCTCCCCAACTGGACAAGGCAATGATTTTAAAAAACAAAGCCTTTCTGAGAAGAGGGTCATGGAGCCTAGCCAGAGTGGTGGACATGCCTGTTCAGCCCTAAACAGTCACTACCCAAATTCTTCCCTCTGCCTGTGACTGCCAAGAAGGAATATTGACTGCCCTTTTAATCACCATCAGATCTAACCATTCCCTTCCCTAAGTCCAAACAGACATGTGCCTTTGCTCAGCAGTTTGTGGAAGTCTTCCCTCTTCAGTCCTGGTCTTTCTCTAGGCTCCTAGATAATCAAACGTCAGTCAATGGATCTCTCTGACAATCCTCTGCCCTAACCCCAACTCCCAGCTTTTTGAAAATAAATTCACACCCTTTCTGTAAGGAACTTCCCCTCTTCTACATCATGTGGCTGCCACGAGATCCTGCCCTTCCTGGTCACAGGCTTCAGATGGCTCAATAAGCAGCTTCTATAGAATTTTAGATGATGATGAGACAAAACAGCTCTTTGCTATGATTCACTAGGCTAAGATCCTCTCCTCTGCCATAAAGAAGACTGTTGCTGTAGGAGCTGGCGAAGCAAACAGGGAGAAGCAGAGCCCTTCACACGTACCCACACGTCCCAACAGCAAGTGAGACTTTACCTGGAATGCCAGCCTTGGCAATGGCAGCTGCTGCGTGGTCTTGAGTGGAGAAGATGTTGCAGCTAGACCACCGCACCTAGAAGGGCCAGTGAAACAAGCAATTGGTCACTGATGGCTCAGAAGCACAGGGTTACTGGGCAGGAAGAGGGCAAAGCTCTGGAGCTAACTGTAAGAGCCCAGTCTCACAATGATAGGCTGGGGACATGGGTGAGTAGACAGGAGCCAGAGCAGTGACAAAATCCACAACAAACATTACTCTCTTGCGTGTAGAAGGGAAAGATGTGAAGCAAGGGGATAAATGGAAAAGCTATTTAAGAAGAGTCCTGACAAGGAATACAACATAACCGTGGAGGTGATGAGAAGCTGTCAAATCCTCCAGGTTCTTGAAAGACTGCAATTTCTGTTTACTGACATGGGGGAGACTTCAGGAAGATCAGGCAGAAAATCATGAGTTTGTCTGGAAGTATTCACCTCAAACTCCAGGTGGGGAGGACATGTCAGTACCGAATATATAAGACTAGAGTTCCAGAAGTCAGGCTAGTACATGTATTTTGGAGTCGTCACCATTTGGACAGTGGATTTAAAGTCAAAATCAGACTACCAAGTGAAGGAATTTGAAAATAAAGAACAGATCCAAGGGCTGAGCCCTGGAGAACTCTGCTGTTTTTGACTGCCCTATCCTGCCCCTCTTGGGGACCACCTTGCTCTGACTCCTTGAGATCTTAGAGGAGCTGTCTATCCTTGGCATATTATGACCCAGGCTAAACCAATCAGAGTACACCATCCTCTTGGCAACTATGATTGGCCCAGGGCAGGAACATAACCTAGGAGGACCAATGAGAGCCAGTCTTTATATGACTAAATGGTGTTGAGTTTCTCCTATTGGAGCTCTCAGTCAGGAGGATGGGTTGAGAACACTCAGAAGCTTATCTTCCTGTCTGAGAGAAAAATCTGCAGATGTGCATTTACCACAAAGCATGCCAGCACTGAACATGGAGAGGAAACTTAAGGGACAAGAAGAGCCCCTGCTGGCCCAAGGTCAGCCCCATATCTGGAGTCCCCCCACCACACACATACACAGTATTCTTCCCTGGCTGAACCCAGAGAGGCCAAAGGACACACTCAGAGCTACACAGCTATAAGCCTCACCTCAGCACCCAGGGCAACCAGAGTCTCAATGAGGACAGCAGTCTCCACAGTCATATGCAGGCAGCCAGCAATGCGGGCACCCTTCAGTGGCTTGGAGGCAGAGTACATTTCCCGCATGTGCATCAGGCCTGGCATCTCATTCTCTGCGATGTCCAGAGCCTTGCGTCCCCAGGCAGCCAGGCTGATGTCCGCTGCAGAGGCAAGATGGGAGTCCTGTGAGCCCCCTCTTCCCACCAACCATAAAGCATGGCCACTGTGTAAGGACCCAACCCTCAGACGGACCCTCAGGTGGCAACCTGTCACCAAATTCTCTCACTCATTCAATAACTATGCATGGAACCAGGGTAGTCTAAAAAGAAAAACATGGTCCCTGACTAACTGTAGCTTACCATCTTGTGAGAGAACACATTTAATCAAACTCACAAGTACAAGAAAATTACAACAGAGAAGTACCCCTCTGAAAAATATCTAACTATGTATATACTTCCCACCCTTCCTTTCTATTAACACCTACCAACCTCCAAGTCACTCCTCATTCCCTGAAGACCTTAGCTCCTGGCCCTCTGTCTTTCTTTGTAAGTCATTATTCTTAGTAATTCAACCCACATAAGTATTATCCAACATCTTGAACTTGCCAATTCCTTGATCTCCTTTCACAATATGAAAATGCTTCTTCCCCACTCCACATGGCAGGAACTCATCAGTATAACTAACATTCCTCACCACTCTGCACTCCAGGGGAGGGGGAGTGGCTTGTCTGATTAGTAAATTTGAGAGGAATAAATTGGGCATACTCAGTTTTGCTACCCCTTCTTCTGCAAGCAATTCCCGCCCACCTGCAGAAATTAGGTGTTCTCAGCTGCTTTACTCATAACTGGTGGGTAAGTGCTGAATTTTGGGATTCAGTTAGAAGGATCATTTAGTTTTCACATTAAGGCATATGCTGTGGCTCTGAGGCTATATTAGTAATAAAAGGTCTGCTTTGGCCTTTATCTGACACTCTAAATGTCTCAAAGTTGCCCAAGTTTTCAGGCAGGAAAGGACACTATTACAAGGTCTGTCACTATTTCAATACTTTTCCTTCTTGAAAAAAAACCTTTTCCTTCTAATCATCTCACACCTCACACTGGCCCATTCCCAAGGTCATACATGGGTCAATATTTGCAAACTTCCTAATGAGAAGTCATCTGGTATGCTTGTAAATCTTTCCCAGAAAATCAAATTTAATAGGTCAAATTTAACATGGGGCCTGGGACTGCTGGTGATTTTTCATCTTTATGCAAGCTTAGATCCTTGCCAATCACCCAAGGACGTGGGGGATTAGAGGGAAAGGATTCTGAAGAGAATTTAATAATTTAATAACAAATAATAAAAGTAAATCAGTCTACTTCCTACAGTGTGTCTAAACAATTCCAGAGGGGCTGGGGGTGTAGCTCAGTGGTAGGGCATATGCAAGGCACTGGGTTCAATCCCCAGCACCAAAATAAATAATTTCAGATGTGAAATACTTCATCCCGGTGGAAGGAATCCCTCTTGTTGCACCTTAACACAACCTCTTCTTCTTCCCACCCCATCCATCCACCCTGGGAGGCCATCAACAATAGCAGCTCTCCTTCGGATATCTGGATCTCAAGAAATCAGCTGACCCTGTCCCACCTTTCCAGTTCTCTCCCTCTAGAGCCTCATCTCCAACAAGACTGCAGCCACTCAGGTGAGAACCTCTAATCCACTACTCTTACCTATTTCCACAGTCCCTCACTGCACCCTCTTCATGGTCTCAACTTCCTTCCTTCCATAATTTACAATTCCAAAGCTTATCCCCTCTGCTCTCTCTCCCTCTGAGAACTCATTTGGCAAAACTCCCACCCTGGTTAAAACCTCCCTTGCACCTAAGCCACTGAACCCAACAGGAAAAGAATGATAACCATACCAATAGTCTCATCTAGGAAGACCACAGATCTCACAGGACACATAACATTCCAGCAGTCCTATCACACTCTCCTACTGAATTTACTCTCCTTCTCCACTTTTCCCAAACCTCCAACATTCTTTCTCCATTGACTGACAACCTCACTTTACAATTCATTCAGAATTTAAAAATGATACTTCTTTTCCTCCAGGGACTCTACTATCCTTATCCATAGTTACAGAATGGCAGTATTCTTTTCTGGTCCCTAATCTCTTTCCTTCTCACCTCCTTCAGGACCTTACTATTCCACTGAAAATGCTCTTCTCAAGGTATTCAGAGACCAGCCTGATCCCTCATCTGATGATCAATGACCTATGTTCCTGTTTTTCCCAGCAGCACCAACTCCCTTACTCTACTAATTACTCCCTCCTTTCTGAAACCTTTTCTTTAGTTGGTTGTTTGGTTTGGCATGATTTTGTTTTGTTTTGTTTTGTACTGGGGGTCAAACTCAGGACCTTGCACTTGCGAGGCAGGCAGAGGCACCACTGAGCTAAATTCCTGGCCCGATTTTGGGTTTTTTGATTTATTTTGTTTTGTTCTTTGAGAGTGGTCTCATTATGTAATTCAGGCTGGCCTGGAACTCACTATGTAGCCCCCTCCTGTCTCTGCCTCCCAAATGCTGGTATTACAGGGTTGCACCACCATGCCCGGCTACTGGTTTGGGTTTTTTGAAACAGTCTCACTGTATAGCCCAGTGAGCCTCAAACTCACGATGTCCTGCCTCAGCCTTCTAAGTGGTGGGATTACACACATGCCTCACCATGACCAGCTTTTACTTGGCTTCTAACTCTGTCTTCCTGTGCTCTTCTTTATACCTTCCTGGCTCCTCTGCATTTAGGTTTGGGAACCCTTGGGGCTTCATAATCTCCCTGTTCTCTAACTCTTGCCAGATAAGTTCATCCAGTCTTCTGGTTTTGAACACCTTCTCTATGGTTATGGCTCCCACATACTTATCTCTAGCCCAAACTTCTCCCCCGAACTTGAGATTTGTCTAATTCAGTGGTGGTGAACCTTTGGCACATATGCCACAGTGGGGTGTTTCTATCATTGAAAGCTCTAAAAGGTTCACCATCCCTGGAATCCAACTGCCTACTCAGCATCTCTACTCCTTAGCCACACACCCTCAATCTTCCATTTTAGGAAATGAAACCACCAACCAGCTACTGTGGCTAAAAACTTGCATGATTTCTTGACGTCTCATTTCCATTTTCACTTTCATTATCTATTTCTGGGCCAACATCTCAAATATATAAGCAATCCAACCACAACTCACTGCACTCATCTAACCTGACATTTCTCAACTGGAACTCCCCATGGCAGCCAAAAGGAAAGCTTTTATAAATTTAAGTTCTGGGCCAGGGATGTAGTTCAGTAGTGCCGTGCCCGCCTGACAAGCACAAGGTCCTGAGTTTGATCCCCGGTCCCCCCCCCCCCCAAAAATGAAGACTCCAAGAAACAGAAGAATTTAAGTTCAATCACCTCCACTGTTCTACTAAAGTAAATAATTAAACAAAGGCCTCTAATGACTTCCTCTAACTCCTCACCTGGCCACTCCTCCACCTCCACCACCTTTTTCTCCCCTCACTAGTTCTATTCCTAAAACCTCCTACAGTAACTCTCTTCAGGCTAAACTCATTCCCAGGTCAGAGCTTTAACCTAAGCGGTCCTTAGCTGGAAGGCTCTTCCCCAAGTACAGTATCTGACAACAGTTTCTAACACTCAGAAGGTACTCAAAAAACAGCAACAGAGTGGGGCATGGCAGTGCATACATGTAACCCCAGTACTCTGGGAGACTGAGGCAGGAGGATTCAAAGTTTGAAGCTAGCATGGGCAACTTAGCAACTTAGTTGCTATCTTTGAGTCTCTATCTCAAAATTTTAAAAGAAAAATGTGGGGAAGTAGCTCAGTACAAAGGCCCTGGGTTCAATCCCCAGTACCATAAATAATCTGGAAACAGGGCCGGGGATGTAGCTCAGTGGCATCAAGCCTTCCTGGCAAGCGCAAGGTCCTGAGTTCAAGCTCCAGTACTGGGAAGGAAAAAAAAAATCTGGAAACAGGAGAGAACTTGATATAGTTCTTCTGGAGAACTACAGAATGGGTCAAATAGAGAGAGTAAGATGTATCAGGATTTTACTCCCAGTAAGGTCGAGTGCCTACAAGGGTTTTAAGGGACCAGATTTTTCTTTTGAAAGGCCTCACTGACTGCCGAATGGATCTGTGGAGCAAAAGACCTAGAGAGACCTCTGTGGAAGGAGACCAGAAGTGGGTGGTGGCTGTGAAGAAAACTGGGAGATCTTTCAAAAAACGGAGACAATAAATACATTATCTATACATACAGCGTCCCACCCTATTCTTTTTTTTTTTAATTTTTTTGTCCCACCTTATTCTTGGGTCACCTTTGTATTTCCAGCACCCAGCAGGGCCTAGCATAGAAAAGGGGTCAACAGATCTGCTGTTACAACTGAATAAGGAGATCCATGAAAAGAGCTGGTGTAGGACAAGGGCAGCAAAAACAAAACAAATCTGAACCAAGTCCACACCTGTAATCTCAGCCCTTGGGAAGCTGAGGCGGGAGGACTGAGTTCGAGAGGCCACCTTGGGCTACACAGAGAGTTTAATGCCAATCACAACTACATAGAGATCCTGTCTCAAAAATACAAAAACAAAACAAAAAAACAACTATGAGGAAAAGACCCAGAGCAGGGTTTGCCCCAAGTGTGACAACCAATCAATGACAGAGTTGGGACTGGCCAGGCAGGGCTAGAGTATAGGCCCTTCTCAAGGCCCTGCTGTAGGGGACAAAGGATTCTGTGCTGTCCTTCAAACCTCCACCCCCTCAACTACCATCTGTCCCTCTAGCTAAAAATGATTTTTTCAATGCCATGGCAGCTGTGCCACCTCCCAAGCTTTCCATGGGACCCTCAACTCCAAGGTTTCAAGAGGGGCTGATGCTGCAAGCTCTGGGCCTTTGACTGATAATCAGGGAGAGCTGAGAACTTGCAGGAATCTCAGGAATACCGGTCAAGAACAAGCTAAGAGCAACAGTAAGATCCTCTCTAACCTCAGTTTCTTTACCTGTGGAGTGAGGATACTCACCCCTTACTTTGCTGTGTATCCTGGGGATTACAAAAGATGCCAAACAGCAGGGTCTAGCACACAGCATGCCCTCCTTGATGGAGGCTCCCTTCCTCCATCCTTACACAAAGTCCCCCATTCCAAATCCTTATCTCCACCCACACAACCCATCGCCCCCAGCCCTCAACCACCTCTCCACAGTATGATTAGGCCCCATTCCAGCCCTTCATCTTGACTTAACCTTTTTGAGCTTTAGTTTCTCATCCAGAAAATGAGATCAATAGGCTACTCTGGCGGCTACTTGATGAACTGCTACTTCAACAAGAATCAGCAAGATACTTCAACTTCTACCTCTGTATAATGGAATGATGCCAACATCTAAAAAGATTATTCTCTAAACACATACATATCACCAGATATACATCAAGTGCTCCATAAACATTGGTGTCTTTCTCCAGTTTAATGGTTTCTTGGTTACTTTAAAAACTGCTAGCAAGCCTCAACTGATTTTTAATGAAAATTCATTAGGGGTGTTGCAAGTGTGTTCACTTGTATATAATGATATACAGGATGCACTCAAGATCTAGATGCCCTGGGTTCAAATTCTGTTCCATCCCGTCCCATCACGAAGACTGTGGACAAGTGACTTCTATGTCTCAAGATTTTCATTGTAAAATGTCAATAGTCCCACCCCTGGAGCGCAGTAAAAATAAAATGAGTTAACTGAATAAAGCCAGAAGGTAGTGCCCATCCCACAGTAAACGCTCAATGAACTTTTACTTTCACCCTTCCATCTTTGGGCCAGCAGGAAAGAGCTTACCACTCCAAATTTTCTTTGAGATTTAGTCCCTATTTTGTCGCTTTCCAGGCCTCTCTTCACAAGCACTTGTGATAGCCTGTGCCGAAGCCTGCCCTGCAGGAGGCCCAGAGAGGAGTAAGTTCTTGGCAGGGACCACCCAGCCGGCCAGCAGGCAGGGCTGGGATCCTAGCACAAGTTCCAGACCGGCCCGCCGTTCCAGGCCGCGGGCACGTGCGCTCCCCTCACCAACCCGCAGGTTTGGCGCAGAGCACAACACCAGCCCGCGCCGGGCAGCCCGCGCAGGGAAACCGGGCGGCGCGGGGCACGCCGGGACTCGTAGTCTGTAGGCGCCTCCCACGGCCGGTTGGCCGAGCCTCACGAACTCCAGCCCCCAGGCGGCCCCGCGAGCCCAGTAGCGCGCCCAGCCTGTGATTTTTAGGGGTCCTGGATGCCCCCGGGCGACCTGCCGCCGCCGCCCCAAAGCCGCGGGCACAGCGGGAACACACACACACACACACACACACACACACACACACACACACGCACACACACGCCTGAGGCGGAGCAAAGTAGCCGCCCTACGCTGCACGTCTTGGAACTCACCGACTTTGTAAGGCAATTTGTCAGACATGCTGGCGACGCTTCCACACGCAGTGATGGACTCGGGAGAAAGGGTCCAGGCCTCAGAATGAGCACTGCTACCTGGCGGGCGGCGTGGCGCTGGAACCTGCGCGTGGCGCCGGCGTCTTTAAATAATTTCCTGTTTCTTGCATATTCATGAGTCCTGCGGCTGGGGCTGAGCCATTGGGGCGGGGCCCGATGCACGGGGCGGGGCCGAAATGCACTTCGACCCCGGGCGGGAGGAGGGCAGAGTGTATCCGGGCAGCCAGTGGTCCTCAGACCTGGGTGTGAAGGGAGTGAGCGGAGACCTGCGAGCACACCAAAGTCTTTCTCGCTCATTCAGTGGGCCCGTTGTCAGGACCACGCTGAACTTTGAGATCCCAGCTAGTTCACTTTCTTCAGCCTCAACTTCCTCAAGGGTAAACTACACAGGAGGTGTGAAAGTTCGAGCCCAGCCTGAGCAACTTAGTAACTTGGTGAGACCCCGTCTTAAAATTTTAAAAGGGCTGAGGATGTAGATCGTGGCGAAGGCCCTGTGTTCAATACCTAGTGCCTCTCCACACACACACAAGAATAATGCCTACCCTATAAGGTGCAATATGTCATACATGTCACATATCTCAGACGTGCCCCTCCCCTAAGTAACTGAGGTAAAATAGAAGAAATTAAAGATAGAAAGGAGACAAAGAAAACATAACTGAAAATTGTACTTTTAAGAAGATTGCAGGGCCGGGGATGTAGCTCAGTGGCACCCCGACTGCCTGGCAAGCTCAAGTTTCTGAGTTTAATCCCTCGTACAGAAAAAAAAAAGAAAGAAGAAAAGGCCCTGCAGCTTTTAGATCTTTTAGTCACCCAAGATGATCCATATCAGTATTCCCTTGGTTAAATTTAGGCTCCTTTCCTTCCAGACCCATCACACCCCAAATTCCTCAGGAGCACTGAAAGTCCATAAATTAGCTTAATTGAAAAAGTAAAGAGCAAGAGCCTGACCCTAAGATAAAGGAACAGGTTTAGAGGTTCCAAAGAATGGTTAAATGACCTATTAAAAAAATAATAATAGGGGCCAGGGATTTAGCTCAGTGGCACTGCGCCTGCCTCAAAAGCAGCAAGGTCCTGAGTTCAATCCCCGATACCAAAAATAAAAATAAATAACAGGCCCATACCTGTAGAATGGGCTACTACCCTTCTGGGGTGGGTCATCTTTTTCCAGGGTTTCCACCCGTTCAAGAGAAGCATAAATATTTCTTGTTCTAGGAAATAGTGTATCTCATTTCTCTTGAGTGCATCCTAAAATCTCTAATAAACCCTTCCTGTGCCTCTCACTGACCCATCCTGAAAATTCTTTTCCACAATGGGAGTCAGCAAACCTGCAAACTTATTCTATGAAACAGTGGGTTAGTTTTCTTATTCCCACCTCAGGGACCTCTCAGACCCAGCCCAGGGACAGTAACCACCATCCTGCATGTAGATAAATTTGTATGCACTTCTTCACACTTTTTCTACATATAGATGTCATTAAATAATCTGTAGAATGCTGTTCAAACCTTTATCAAAATGGTATCAACCATACCTATCCTGCAGCTTACTTTTTTTGGTCACCCTATTTGCAAGAGTCACATACAGAGCTTGAGTGTGTTTTTGCTGCCTGTAGTATCTCATTGTGTAGATACTATGAATTATTTTTCTGTTCTCTTTGTTCAAGTTATAGATAATCAGTCACTATTTTTTGTTTGTTTTTGTTTTGGGGGGTTTTTTTTCAGTCACTATTACATACATGGAGCAGTGAACTGTTGTACTTGTCTCCTGCTGCCCATGAGTGTTTTACTCTGGAGCATGAATGTACCTGGGGTGGAATTTCTGCTGTAAACGTTGATTTTTGGCTTTCCTTGAGATTGCCAATTGCTTTCCAAGGTAGTTTTACCATTGACCCTCCCACCAGCAGTGCATGAGAGGACTGGTCGTTCTACAGCCCTGTTACCACTGGCATAAATTTTAGTGGTATTGATGGATGTAAAATGTACTCCCTTTATGGTTTTAATTGGCCACCTGAAGACCTTTTAGCATTATCAAAAATTCTCCCACCCCCTCAGACCACCCCTACCCCCTCCATTCCTCCTTCCAACCTCCACCCTTCACCACCTTCCTCAAACTTTTTCAGTTATTCCCATTCCAAGTTGGCATGTCTTTGTCCTCACATTTAGTTTTCAGCTATATAACCTCCAATTCCAGGTCTCCAGTGAAACTGCCCCAGTTAAGATCAGGGAGCCTGGCTGAATCCAACTGATGTGCCCCAGCCTGAATTCCAACCCTTGTCTTGGCTTTCATTTTACTCACTGTCCTCCACATTTCTTCCTTTGGCCTCAGAAACTTCTTTTTCCTCCAGAGCCTTAGGGTTAATGGGTGGTGGTTGTTGTTGTTGTTGTTGTTTTGAGACACAGCCTCACTGTGTTGCCCAAGCTGGCTTTGAACTCCTGCATACAAGTGATTCTCCTGCCTTGGTCTCCCAAGTAGCGGGAACAACAACAGGTACATAGTGCTACACCCAGCACAATGGCCTAATGTTCCTTTTACCCCTTCCTGAGACATCTGACCTACACTTCCAGCTTTTGTGACCACTTATGTCCAGCTGATTCAGGTGTCCATGGAACAAAACAGTGCCATTCCTCAGAAGTCACCTGTTTCCCTACTCACTCACATGCCCTTTCCCCCATCCCTGGAGGTAGCACTACAGTGAGTTTTGTCTTAATCATTCTTGCGCTTTTCTCAGTGAGTTCTACTATTTGTATGCCTATCCCTAAATAATACATTATTTTCCATTTTAATTGTTTTTGCCTTTGGATAAACAAAATAATACTGTATATATTATGGAACTTGCTTTTCTCAACGTTTTTTGAGGATTATTATGTAGATGATATACCTGTGACTCATTTATTTTCAGCTATGTATAGTCCACTGAATGAATATACAACAGTTTATTCATTCTATTATTGATGAACACTAGGTTTCAGATTTTTGCTGCTACAAACACCACCACCCTAACATTCTTTGTCCCCCCCCCCCGTATTAGGGATTGAACCCAGGTCATTTACACTGAATTACATCCCCAACTTTTTTTTTACTTTTTATGTTTTGAGACAGAGTCTCTGTAAATTGCCCAAGTTAGGCTTACTTTGCATTCATCCTTCCTGACCCTCTCACAGTGTGCCTACACACCCAGTTCCAAAGTGGTTGCCTCTGGCTAACCATGATGACACACACCTGTTGTCCCAGCACTTGGGAGGCTGAGGCAGAAGGATCACTGTGAGTTAGAGGCATGCCTAGGCTACACAGTGAACTTAAGGCCAGCCTGAGGTACATAGCAAGACTCTGTTTCAAAAATAAATTAGTGGGTCGGGGATTTAGCTCAGTGGTTCCACCTCCTGCCTCGCAAGTGCAAAGTCTCAAGTTTGATCCCCAGTACAAAAAAAAAAAAAAAAAAACCTCAGGAAAAATAAAGCGGTTGCCTCAATCTCTACTGCTACCAACAGTGGATAAAAATTCTTTTTTTTTTTTTTTTTTTCAGTGCCGGTGATCAAACTCAGGTCCTTGCGCTTACGCAGCAGGAAGCAAAACTACTGAGCTAAATCCCTGGCCTGATAAAAATTCTTGTACTAGCCCTTCTTATTTTTTTTCAAGGCCTTCACTCTGAACTACATCCCCAACCCCTTTTAATTAATTAATTAATTAACTTTTTTTGGTACCGGGGATCAAACTCAGGACCTTGCGCTTGTAAACCAGGCAACAAAACCACTGAGCTAAATCCCCAGCCCAATTAATTTATTTTTTAAATGGGATTTTACTGTATTGTTAAATTGCCCAGGTTGGACTTAAAGTCACAGTCCTCCTGCCTCAGCCTCCCAGACTGTTGGGATTACAAACAGACACCACCACACCCAACCATTAAGTTTTTATGCCAGTCTGGAAGACAGGAAGTGATATCTCATTGTGGTTTTAATTTCCTTTTTTTTTTTTTTACTACTAACAAGGTCAAATGTACTCTGCTTTCTCTTCAGATTGTATAAATCTTTTGCTTTTACTAATGAGATTGAGTATCTGTTCATGTTGTGATCCATCTCGGCTTCCCTCTCTGTAAAAGTTCCAGTTCCATTCAGGTCTTTGCCTGTTTAAAATTAAATGGCATGGGGGCCAGGTATTTAGCTCAGTGGTTCTGGCATCTGCCTTGCAAGCACAAGGTCTTGAGTTTGATCCCCGGTACCAAAAAAAAAAAAAAAAAAAATTAAATGGCTTTCTTTTCAATTAATCGGAATTCTTAACATAGTCTGCAAACAATTTCTTGCTGATTATGTGTTGCAAATATCTTCTCGAGGTTTATGGTTTATTTTCTCACCCTCCCTATGTTATTTTTCAGTGAATAAAAATTCATAGCATTAGAGCTGTTCTCAGTGGCACACACCTGAAATCTCACCTGCTCAGGAGGATGGCAAGTTCCAGGCCAGCCTGGGTAATGTGGTGAGTAAATTCTTCATTTAATTGTAATCAAATTTAACCAATTCTTTCCTGTAGAGTTAGTAGGAGTTTTTAATCTTCTTTTAGAAAGTCTCTGTATTCCAAGATCACAAAGAATGTCCCGTATACTTTATAATTTGAACATGT